ATCTCTTGTTCTTCCCTTTTTGTTTTTGTCCTCTATTTCTCTGCATTGCTCATTGTAGTAATTTTCTTTACCTTTCTGCACAAGCCACTGTACTGTTGCATTTATGATTTTTAGTCTCTTCCTATCTCCCTTTTGTTTTTCTTCTCCTTTTCTTTATTGCTTGCAGTGTTGTGGCTATCATCCATGGTTTTTTCTCTTTCTTTTTGTTTGTTGAAAGTGTCTGTCTGCATTCTTCTTTTCTTATGCCCCTGGCTTCAGACCATAGTTCCTCTGATTCTCTGTCTATTATGCTTAGTAGTTTAAATCGGTTTCTTATGTTGTCAATAGATTCTGTTGAGATATTATTTAGATCATATTTTTGTATAATCACTGGTTTTATTTCCTTCTTGAGTCTTACTCTTATTTTTGATATGAATAATTCGTTATCTGTGCCACAGTCGGCTCCTGGTCTAGTCTTGATCACCAGTATCTTCCACCATCTTTTGCTTCCAATTATATAGTCTATTTGATTTTTGTGTTGATCATCTGGTGTTGTCCTTGTGTACAGCCTTTCCAGTTGTATGAAAAATGTGTTTGCAATGAAGAAGTTATTGGCTTCCCAAAAAACTATCAGACCCTCACCTGCTTCATTTCTTTTGCCTAATCCAAATCTGCCTACTGTTTTTGATTCTTCTTTGCTTTCAACTTTTGCATTCCAATCTCCAATGATCATCTTAACATCCTATGTTGGTATGCTGCCAATTCCTTCCTGTAGTTCTTCATAGAATCTGTCAATTTATTCTTGTTCTGCCTCAGTGGTTGGTGCATATACTTGAATTAGGGTGATATTCATAGGTTTACCATGGAGCCTTACCAAAATCATTCGGTCTGATTTTGCATTTTATCTGCTGACTGCTCTTGCCACATCTTTTCTTAGTATGAAAGCCATCCCATTTCTTCTTGTCTTTTCATTCCCTGAGTAGAACACTGTGTAGTTAGTTGTCTGATTCAAAGTGACTCATTCCTGTCCATTTTAACTCACTCACCCCCAGTATTGCTATGTTCATGTGTTGCATTTCCATTTTAATAATGCTAATGCTAATACTAATGCTAATAATA